CTGATCCGCTCTGCGGTCGATCTAGTGCATTTGTTAGTAGTCGTAGGTGCTTAGTGTGAAAAATTTTTAGTGCGAAACTCGTAAAGAAAGAAGAGAAGGAGTTTTGATCAGAAAGAACAGTCAAATTTCACAATGTCTCTAGTAATACTTCTTTTCCTCGCTGTTGTTAATCTCTCAACTTTTATGGGGCAGCCGACTCGCCCTGTGAGTACTCTACCGCCTCCCGGTACATGTCAACCTATAACTGGTGTGGCCATGTGTCTTTATGTGCCATGGGGAAATGCCTCCTTCCCCAATCTCAGGGAACACAGGACACAGAGCGAAGCAAACACCGAAGTGAACGTATTTCAACCTCTTGTTACACATCAATGCTCTAACGCCATCGTTCACTTTCTTTGTGCAGTGTACACTCCGGCTTGTGTCGAAGGACCCGAAGGAACCGTCACGCTCAAACCCTGCAGGAATCTCTGTAACCATGTGAGGAATACTTGTGAACCTTTGATGCAACAGGGGGGATTGGATTGGCCGCCTCACTTTGAGTGCTCTAACTTTCCCGAAAGTACGGGATCCACTAGTGATATTGATAGTCTGTGTTTCAAAGTGCCTATCAATGTTACCATACCACCTGAGTTACTACCGTCTGCTACTACATCTTCTGGTACAGCCGTTCAACCTACCGCTGCAACCTCCTCTACCTTTGTCTCTTCCATGACATTAGGCACTACACCCATACCTACGGCTACCACGATTCCTTCAAGTCAGAAATGTAGCCCCGATTTGGATCTACGTCGATTGGGACATGAATTCGCTAATTCTAGCTACACATTTGCTTCGATCCCAAACTGTGCTGTCCCTTGCGAAGGCATATTTTTCACAGAGACGGAGCGTAACGTCGTCGCTCCAGCTTTCATATTAGTTTGTGCTCTTATCTGCATCGGTTTTACTTTATTTACCGTAGGTACTTTCATGATCGACCGTCAGCGTTACCATTATCCGGAACGCCCAGTCATATTCCTGGCCTTGTGTTATCTTATCCTATCACTTGCCTTTGTTGTGGGGGCTATTGTGAAGCTAAGTGACCCAAAATCATCATTTGCCTGTTCTGACACAGCAGACTCCCAGTCGTTTGTTTTTCAAGATCTACCAAACTCTACACCAACTTTTCACAGTGCCAGCTGTGTCATACTCTTTATCATTACATACTACTTCCAGATGGCAGGTGCAATATGGTGGGTCATTCTGACTTTGACTTGGTTCATGGCTTCAACTCTCAAATGGGGCGAGGAAGCAGTTGAAAGGCCTTGGTTACTCTACCACATATTTGCATGGTGCATACCGGCGATATTAGTTATCCTCCTATTATCAGTACGACTGGTTGACGGTGATCAACTCTCAGGGATATGCTACACAGGAAACAGCAGCTCTGTTAGCATGGGTGTCTTTGTCTTGTTGCCACTCTTGTTGTTTCTAATTCTGGGCATCGTATTTCTTGTTATTGGGTTTGGCTCGCTTGTTCACATTCATCTCCAAATCAGCAAAGACCCAAACAAGTCGAGGAGACTCCAACGACTCATCATCAGAATCTTAGTCTACGCTCTACTCTACATAATCCCGACTTTCATTTATATCTTTCTGTGTATCTATCAGTTGGCAGAAAGGAATAGCTGGGAAGAATCGTATATAAAGTGTCCTCCTTCTAGCTTTAATTGTGAGCCGGAGTCAAAGCCACAGTTTACAGCTCTCTTGATGCGTTACCTAGTTCTCTTCATCATTGGCATTTTCAGCACGTTTTGGGTCATCTCATGGAAGACACTATTAGCATGGCAGAAGTTCTTTGACAGTATCTTCTTCTGTTGTCACAAGCGTGAAGATTACCAGTTGCCAAGGAGAAATATCGAAACTGCTATTTAAGAGGCAAGAGACATTTATGTGACTCATTCAGTGCCCCGTTTTAAATCACACTTTGCACATCTTTTGTTCAACTTTGTGTACTCTCTTTTCTCCTCTTTCAACTCTTGTATTACTTTTCATTTACAGCTGAGTAACCCTACAGCTGTAATTATTATTATTATGTACTTTTTCTGTTTATTACAAGCTTATGTTACTTTGTGGTTACAAATGAGACATCAAAGGATTGTCTAGCATTACACAGTAATAGGTGTGTTGACATGGTTTGGGCTGATGTGGTTGTATCTGGTCAACTTCAAAGGCAGGATATCATACAGTATACTATACCGTACTATAACTTTTCTCATGCCTTATGAATTCCATTACTTAGTGATATGTGAGCTTAAATTTCATACCTTTTCCATCCCATCTTATCAGACCTACTGTCTCGCCACTAGTGATTCAATGTTATAAAAATAGCCTGCATCTAATTTGATTATACTTCTTTTAACATACCAAAGTATCATGTGTCAAACAAAACGTCCATTTGTTTCATAAGGTGGAAAACTCTTAGCTACATTTATCACATTTGCAAAAACTATAGTGACTGCATTGTGCAAATTTTACAAGTTGTAATTGTTTTTAGCATGAACAACATCATGAAGCCACACGAACGTAGCATTGTTATGCCACAACAATAACCTTATTGAGATGTGTCCCTAATTATTACTTAGAATTCATTTTTATTCACAAGCAACAACAGAATTACAAGCTGCCTCAGTCTACTGACTACTGATAACGTGACTAGAGTACCTAATTTATCTATAATGTCACACTTTAGTGATGGTCACATAACATTAGTGTATTCATTTGTTGCAATGGGCAAAACCGGAAACCCTAAAAATCCTTTGACTCCTTCCCTACACACACTTATAAGATGCTGATTATGAATTATAGGGGGCAGCCACAACTATAAAAAATCTATTTACTATCAAGTCTACAAATAGGTTAACGTAACATGACGTTTGCTACTGATGGGGTGTGTACATGTCTAAATTTCATTTCCGCATATAAAAATTTATGCAAATTAGCTGGGAGTGGGGTGTCAAGTCATATTAGCAGCAATTCTGTGTGGTAAAGATGCTCTCCTTCGGTGTCTCTCTCATTTTTATGCTCTTTGTGTGCAATGCTCAAGTTATTCCTGATTGCCCGGATAGAGGTGGTAAGTGAGCTTAATCTCCACATGCAAATGATGCTTGAGCTACAACTTTTCATCATAGAAACAATTTGCCTTGGTCACAGCACTAACAGGGTCTCTCAAAGCCAAGGAGGTACAGTCTCCAGTATTCTTCAAGATGCATATGAGCAGTTCTGTGGTTGTCGGTACATTAAAGACAATATAGTGATCCAAACAGGCCCTACTCTTGTTGATGCTAACCAGACTCTAGTGGAGGCTAATTTCTCATTCCTTTACTATGTAAAAGAGATCAGTGGCTATCTTGAATTAAATGGCATACCATCCATTGAAAGGCTCTCTCTCCCTAACCTCAGAATTATACGTGGAAGAAATTTACGTTCTGGACGTTATAGCTTACTGGCATTGGGAAAAATACAAAATCTTTATATGCCAAACTTGACTGAGATCAGTCGAGGTGATGTCTGGTTTATTTCTAGGCTTAACCCTTACTTGTGTAATACAAGGTCAATTAATTGGATTGATATTGCCCCTTTTCCAGTTATTGGTCATCGACTCGAGACAAACGGTTGCAGTGATTCTGGTAAATATATTTAAGTTGAAATAGTCATTGAAATATCATTTAGATATAATTAACTGTACTGCATTGGGATGCAGCTCAGGGTCCTGCTGGTGCAATGATACTGACTGCTGTCAAACATGTGAGCAAAAAAGTTATTTTACTTTTATTATTAATTGTTTCCATTTAGTGTCATTTAATTGCAATTGCAATAACAATCGTTGCTTCAGAAATGGTCCAAACATACAGTGTTGCAATCCAGAGTGTGTTGCTGGTTGCAGTGAAGGTGGTAACAATGATCAATGCAGGGTAGGTGATAGTTTTGTTAGATTTTTTCTAAGTCATGCTCTAGGCTTGTAAAAATGTTTTGAATGATGGAGTCTGCCGGGAGAGATGTCCTGAACAATATATAATTGATCCTGATACTCGTGCTGTCGTACTTAATCCAGAATTTAAGTTTGAAGCACAGCCACTTTGTGTCTCCACTTGCCCAGGTATATTTAAGATATTTTAAATGAAGATTGTTTGAGTCTTTGTAGCTATGCTGTTTGAGCTGGGGACTCAGTGTGTTGAGGACTGTCCTTCTAACTATATGTCTGTATCTGGTGATAATGGAACTATGAGATGTGTTTTATGTGATGGGCCATGTCCTCAGGGTAAGGGCCAATGCTGTGTGATTGCTTATGATATCTGTTCATTTTAGAGTGTGCTGGTGGGGTATTTGATTATGATGTTCCTGGAAAGTTATCTGGATGTACTATCATTACCACTGAACTGAGGATTTCAAGTGTACCACCAAATTTAGAGTTAGTAATAATTTTCAAAAAATAGTATTATAATAATTTTTGCTTAGTCCATCAATATTGAATGATCTTAATGAAATTAGAGAGATTCGTGGCTCACTGGATATTAGTGGCTTTAATAAAGAGACGTTTCCATACCTCTATAACTTGAAAACTGTTGGTAATAATGATTCCAATCAAGTGCTATCACAGTCATGCAATGGGTCAAGTGACAGTTTCAAGTATTCAATCATAATAGCCGATACTGAGTTGGTCAGCATTGATCTCTCATCCCTGGAGGCTGTCATCAATGGAGGCGTTCGATTGCAAAATAATCCTTCTCTCTGCTATTTAGGAGATTTGCGTTATTATCTGACAAATTCATCGGCAACATCCTGTATTTTGGATGATCACAGACAGAGCATAGAAGAATGTGGTTAGTACATGTTAGTTTGTAGCCTTGTTGTCCATGACTGAGCCACCACACACATCATTAATCATGTCATTAATTATAGTGTTGTAGTATTTCCTTTATTTGGTGTGAGTGTTTTGTGTTAAGTAGTGTCAGTTGTGCCATCACACCCTTTTGGGATTACCATACTGAGAAGTCAATTGCTCGCCTGACTTTGGCCATGCTTTATTGAATTACTGGGCTATATATAGTCCTGTTTAGACTATGAGTGTACCCTGCAAAGGTGTATATAACTGACTCTTTACTGTTGGCACTTAAAACATGCTGGCATGCACACTCAATGTTTGTTTGATTTGTAGTTTTACCAGTATGTATATGTATTTCTAAACTATCTGCAGCAGTAAACAGTAATACAATAGTTACATCTATATGTACTTTTAATCTACATGTACATAATAAACAAATATTGCTTCTATTTATTGTTATCATTCTTATAGTTGAAACAAACATGACCTGCCATCCTCAGTGCTCCTCTGCTTCTGGTTGGTGCTGGGGACCCAATGACACTCAGTGTGTGACTTGTACTAACTTCATCTTTAATGGACAATGTGTACCAACTTGTAATGACTTTGATGCCCACGGAGTGTAAGGATGCCATTTTTCTAAATTAAGACTTATTCTCTCTTTTTCTCTCTCTCAGTCACTTATACGGCCATAATGCTAACAACACTTGCTTGGCTTGTCACTCATTTTGTAGTGGCTCTTGTGTTGGAGAGGTACATATTATTCACTGTCACACATTCACTGTCATTAACTATTCCGTGAATGTAGGGTCCTGCCAATTGTAGTAGCAGCTGTAATACTAACTTTTTTGTCAATGTCAGCGTTGGAGTGGGTATACAGTGTCTTGAGTCCTGTGTTGGTGACACTTATTTACCTGATAGTCGCACTAGTGGTTAGTAAAAATATCAAATGTGTTACAAGTAATGTACTTTCTTCAGGTGAGTGCCTGCCTTGTTTTAGTGGCTGTAGCCTTGGCTATGGCTGTGCTGGCCCTGGAAAGACATTCAATGACAGTAATGGCTGTATGGCATGTGATACCATTTTACTTGATAGAAATGGAGACCAGGTCAGTCATTATAAGCTTTTGTAGACTATTATTTTGTACTTGAATGTACAGATTGAGTGTCAGAGGGATGTAACCTGCCCTTCTGGCTATTATTGGGAGCAGCTGACAGAGGATCGCGGTATTTTCCTTACTGACACTGTTTTATGCCACTCCTGTCATGAGCTTTGTGCAACATGCAGTGGGCCTTCAGTTAGCGATTGTGTTTTATGCTCATACATTAGGGGCACCAATGGCTCCTGTGTTTTCATGTGTGACCCAATAAGAGGTAGTAGAGTATGTGTCTTTATTATCATAATAATGTCCTTTTTGTGTAGAAACCGTTCCTATGAATGGCTCATCACAGTGTATCCCAGTTACTATGGGTACAATAGACCCAAGCAGTGCTGGTACTACAGGAGTAGTAATTGGTTCAGCCTTAGGAGGGCTACTGCTAACTGCCCTTGTGATCTTAATCATAGTTATGCTATTAGTGTTTGTACCAAGAGCATTGAGAAAGAAAAATAAAGTGAGCAACCAGTAGATGGTAATCGCTTCATTGTTATGTTTTTGAAATTCACAGTATAACCTCAATGAAGTGTTTAGTAGTCCTGAAGAATTGGAATTGTTTACACTAGGAAAAGAGGTTTCCATACAATAACACGTTGACTCAATTATCGAATGCTTCTCCAATAGACACTTCAGCCTCCTAGAATGGCTCCTAATGCCACGAGGCTAATAGTAGCCCCAGAAGATGAGTTAGAATTCGGCAAAGAGCTGGGCGCTGGAGCATTTGGTACTGTCTATGAAGTAAGCGACCATACATGTAAAACTTGCACCATTACTACATGTTAAAGGGTTACTGGAAGCCAGCTAATGACGAGAATGAGTATCACGTTGCCATTAAAGTACTCAAGAACACATCAGCAAGTGCTAGTAAGGAGCTACTACAGGTTAGCCTGGAAGAATAAGGCATGATTTGAGTCATTACAATTCCTTATTCGACGAGTAGGAAGGCGTGGTAATGGCCACTATGGATCACGAGAATGTAGTCCGTTTGTATTGCGTGTGCATGAGTAAACAGCTCATGCTAGTATCACAGTTTGTGCCATGTGGAGCTCTCATTGACTATATTAAGAAGCAACAGGACAGACTCAATGCCCATACTATCCTTCTATTCTCATCACAAATTGCAAATGTATGCTACTAATCCTAATAATAATAGTTGTTATTATGAGTCATGCATTGTATTGTATTGTATTGTCTGTCATTGAAAGCATCAATGAGGAGTTGTTTCAATTCTAATTAGGGCATGGCCTATCTTGAGACTAAGCACCTTGTCCACAGGGACCTTGCTGCTCGTAATGTACTGGTCCAGACTCCTGTGAAAGTTAAAATAACCGACTTTGGTCTGACACGAATTATTGAAGCAAACCAATCTCATTATGAAGCCACAACATCAAAGGTAATAAATATTGCATTATTCTATCTTCTTATCATCACTAATCATTGTTTGTTTGTATCGTAGATGCCTGTTCGTTGGTTGCCACCAGAGAGCATAAGGAACAGAGTCTTCACACACAAGACAGATGTGTGGAGTTTTGGCGTCACCGTGTGGGAGATACTGACATTTGGTGCAAGGCCTTATCAAGTATACTTCCCAATGATCATCATGTTTGTTCAGCTGTAACAATTTTGAAATTTAAGCTTATTGTTAAATAATTAACAGTATTTGTAGAGTTTCCTTTTATGATAATAATAATAGACTAATAATAACAAGTTATTATCTACTCTTGATAATAATTGTACTCAAGTGTTTATGACTCTTCCTAATAGGGTAAGAAGCCATATGAGATCCTGAAGATGCTGGAAGGTGGACACCGTTTAGATCAACCAGTGACGTGTACAATTGATCTTTATGCTGTGCTATTGGAATGTAGGTCATAGTATAATTATTGTTTACAGTAAAATATGTAGAAAAGCATCAAACATGTAATTATAATAGTTCAATTTTGTAATTATGATTGACTCAATTAAAGTATATAATAACTGAATTGTTGTATAAAGGTCCTGGTCTATACATTAAGTTTTAAATTTAGAGTAAATCAAGACCAAATCACGTTTACATAAGTATGTAATTTGTCTATCTACATGTAATGGTAAACAGTTTAATGTAACAGTTCACTCATATGTAAGATTCTTGGGCGACGCTCAGTCTTGTTTACTCTATTAGATTAAGAGTGGTGCCGTGCTTACATGTACTGTAGTTACTGAGCCTCAAACAGGATATGTGTACTGTTTTATATATTTACTATAATACTGTTGGAGCCAAAATTTATCATAATTATGAGTAGGTGCATGCAGTATTATTTACATATACTGCATATTGGCATAGCAGTAGCATTCATGTCAGTGGATTAATTGTGTAGTGGCTCAAAATTTTAGAGTAACTTTAAAAATTTATAAAAAATCCAAATTTGATTGAAATCAACTCAAACTTGATATATGACATGAAAACATGTATATCTATCAGAAAAAAATTATGAAATAAAGAATTCTCTCCTAGCCATTTTTGATGAAATTTGGTTGATGACCCAAGGCTATAGCCTTTGGTCTCGAGCCAAATTTCGTCAAAAATGGCTAAAAGAGAATCCTCCATTTTTATAATTTTTTCTGATAGATATACATGTTTTCATGTCATATATCAAGTTTGAGTTGATTTCAATCAAATTTGGATTTTTTATGAATTTTTAAAGTTGCTCAAAATGCCACATACTGTACTGTATTGTAACAACTCGTATAGCATGCTGTTTAGCTCACTTAGGGGGGAAACCCTGGCTATTATCCTGTGTACATTGTTATCACTTTGTTATTTAGGTTGGCTTTTAGAGCCTGATAGTCGACCCGATTTTGTGGATTTAGGACGTCGATTTCATGAATTTATGAACGATCCTGCCCGTTATGTACTAACAGTTGTAAGCATGAGTGTGTGTGTGTGTGTGGGTGTGTGTGAGCTGTATCATGTATGACATAAATTATTATTATTGTTTTTTTATATAGCTTGATGGTAACACAAGTGATTATTTGATGCTACCCAGTAATGTGAGTCAGCCTGGAGATAATGCTTATGAGCAGCCAGTTACCAATGAGACTTGTCCAAGTGCTGTTAGTATTCAAGGAACACTACCTTCCAGTGATAATGCTGTTAATCCTTATGCCATGGCATTCAGTGCTGAGGCTTATGTGATGCACCCACCTGATGCTACACCAGTAGTTTTTCCCACAAAGAAGGTAAGCTATGCTCTCACTGCTTTGATCAACATTTATATTTATAGTTGAATGATGGGCAAGAATATGAAGTACCTGTTGAAGGATCTTCGCCAGTTGTTAAGGCACCAAGATCACCAAGATATGTTGATTTGGTATGTGAATCAAATACCGTATTAGTATGACTGTGTACATGATATGCATAGTTGGTTCCAGCTAAACAAAGCAATGATTATGTTGATGAAAAGATTAAGCTACTACCAAATGTAAGCCATTTGTAAGAGAGAGAGAGTATTTCATTTACATTGCTATTACAGGAAGACCCAGACGATGATTATACACTAATGTCAGATGTGGCAGCAAATGCGCCTTCACATTCTGCAGCCGATATTATTGAAAACTATGAATTCTCAGAGAATCCTCAGCCCCTTGGATCTCCACTATCACCTAATGATAAAATGCCTTTATTACCTAGTGCTATGGGTGGGGGTGTCACTAATCTGCTATACGACAATAATGCTGGCAGCAGCGTCCCTGAGGTTCATAATTATGAAGATGTTGAAGAGGAGGTTAATAAAGGTGGCTTAACCAATCTAGTGTATGATTCAAGGGCTGGCGAGGCAGAGCCTCTTGTTCATAATTATGAAGACATGGAGGATGATCAAAATGGTGTCACGAATTTGATGTATGATTCAAGAGCTGGCCAGGCAGCAATACCCGCTGCTAATAACTATGAAGACATGGAAGATGATCGTAATGGCGTTTCCAATTTGATGTATGACTCAAGGGCCGGCACTTCTTCAGTCAGTGCTGTACCAGATGTTAATAATTATGAAGATATTGATGAGGATGTTCCTAGTGGTGTTTCTAACGTCATGTATGACTCAAGGGCTGGTACTTCTACAGTTAATGCTGTACCAGATGATAATAATTATGAAGATATTGATGAGGATGTTCCTAGTGGTGTTTCTAACGTCATGTATGACTCAAGGGCTGGTACTTCTACGGTCAATGCTGTACCCAATGATAATAATTATGAAGATATTGATGAGGATGTTCCTAGTGGTGTTTCTAACGTCATGTATGACTCAAGGGCTGGTACTTCTACGGTCAATGCTGTACCCAATGATAATAATTATGAAGATATTGATGAGGATGTTCCTAGTGGTGTTTCTAACGTCATGTATGACTCAAGGGCTGGTACTTCTACGGTCAATGCTATACCAGATGATAATAATTATGAAGATATTGATGAGGATGTTCCTAATGGTGTCTCTAACGTCATGTATGATTCTACAGCTGGTACTTCAAAAGTTCCTGAAACTCATAACTACAAAGACGTTGAAGATGTCAGCAATCAACCTTTCTCATTCTCTAACCTGATGTATGATTCAAGAGCTGGAACGTCTACCAATTTAGATAATTATGAAGAAATCGATGAATCATCCCCCAAAAAAGAGCAAAGTAGTTTCTGTAATGTAATGTATGATTCAAGAGCTGGCATAGCTATGAATGGTCACTCCTCATCAAATGAAAGGACAATGTCACCTTATGAAGTCCCCATTGCTATCTCACCAACTGCAAGGACTGTGTCGCCATATGAAGTACCTGTTAAAGATGGCGATTATGAGCTACCCACTGATGGTATGCCACGTGTTCCCCAATACAATGTCTACGAAGCTCCTGCAAGTTGAACGTGTTAGTATTTATTTTGTGTGTATTATTATTATGTACATGCCATACCTTTTACAGCAGTCATGCATTTTTAGACTCAGTGTGAAAAATCAATAATTCATTCTTATAATACAAAAAATGTTACAATTATTATTATCGCTATTATTATTATTGTTTGATGAAAAGCAGGACAAAGTTCAAACTATGGTAATATATACAGGCTATCCAAATAACAAAAATACTCAATTAGTAGGAGCCAATTGACTCGTTTCTGATGTTCTCAATACACGAGGACTTGATGGTTTCTGATGTAAGAGAGAAAACCCAGACTGAGGTCCTGGGTCTTGGTGAGGTGGATGTCTCATTCTTCCACTAGGTGTAAGCTACAAATGTACAATTGAAGCAGGAATCATTTCTACAGCGTTTAAATTGCTATGCATACCTGATAACTGGCTCTTGGAACACCACTGCTTAGCATGCCATGAGTATGATGGTCAATCTCAGCACCGGAGGTTGAGTGTATTTGAGAATAAGAAGAATGAGTATACGCAGGTACAAGAGGGGATTTAGCAGTAAGACGAAGATGAGAGTCTATTAATGAATAATGATTCTTGAATGCTGTAGGAACTGGGCTTACTTGAGGGGTCGTTCAACTGAGGGAGCCCAATGGTGCCAGCATTGGAGAGTTGCTTTTTTACGGGAGGAGGGTGAGAGGGAGAGAGTGGAGACCTGTATGCATCACCTCTGTAATGGAAACAATATTCAGGCATTATAACATGTACAATATATTACAGTACTGACTTATTGACACATAAAATACACACACATACTATATATAACATACACATTATAGTATGAAACACATATTATATATTATACACATGTACTAACCTGTGTGGCTGTAGATCAGGTCTCAGCTCATGCAGTGAAGTAATACTTGTGTTTGAATGACTCTGTAATCCTGCTTTAAGCCTTCATTCAAAGGAATGCAAGTAATAATGCTACAAAGTTTACTAATGAAGGTTACTTTGTTATCGAGTGAGTAGCTGATGCTTGATTATCCAGCAATGAGATAGGAGGTGCACCAATGCTCTTAGCATTAGGATGCAATGGAGAGGGTATATCATGAGGTAGGACTGCAGCAAAAAAGAAGATAGAGCATTGAAATGCACTACTGTTACCTCTTTTAGGTGTGCTTGGTTTATACATGTATGGTGATGGTTGCTGTGCTCTCAGTAACGCATGCTGTGAGCCATAGGGAGATCCACTGGGCCCTCCCAGTGCTGCCATATTCCCTTGTAGTAGTGATGATGGTATCATTGCTATAGGAAAAAATTGTGAACAGGGAGATAGTACAATTTTTAAATACTTTTTGGCTTAGGTTCTTGTAGAGGCAATCCATTTGCTGCTTTCTCACGATGGACTTTTATTTTCTTTTTCTTTTCTTTTTTGATAGCTAAAATAATGATGATAATAATGTATTGTGATAACAATGATTGCCCTTGAGTAAGCATGCTCTACAACTATGTTGACAATAATCAATGTTTTAGACAGAAACAATGCTTTTATAATAGCCTGCTTTTAGCTTTAGAGCAATGCTAACATGCAAAACAATGAAACTAGTTTAATCCTCAAATGATATATTCACAATATGTGATAGAGTATAGTAATAATATCTAGAACGATAATATAATTAGTTATTTTACCAGATTCATCAGCTCCACTCCCAGTTGCTTCAGCGCCACTTGAAAAACCAGTAGCATAATCATGCTTTGTGGTTAATCTGTTTGGTACAGTCTCTTCACCAGAGGATCTATTGATGAATCATAATCAACCCATTACAGTTTATATACATGTAATAAATGCACACACTCACTCTTTCATTGCTGCATGCTGACTGTCATACAGACTACCATATATGGTAACGCCAAGGTTCTTTAAGAGTGGGTTGTCGTCAAACTCGTGTTGTATTTTACTTCGTAATTCAATGGAATATTTATCAGCCCATCCATTGCGTTGAAATAACTCGTGTTTTAGTAACTGAGTACAGGTTGGTCTGTCAGCTGGATCAAGGCGTAGCGACCACTATATAAAGACAATATATTACATCACAATCCTTACATGTAAGATTTGTCATATATGTGTACTTTAATGATGTCCATGGCTGCTGGGGATAGTCTGTGATATCTTCTCTCGAATGGTTGGATCTCTCTTGCCTCTGGGAGTCTCATACCAATGAATAAAGGATTCCGACTGAATACTTCACGATGGCGAGCAATGAGATTACCTATTTGGGACAGATAATATGCCGATTAACCAGGAAATTAGAAAGAGTTATACATACCAAAACATTTAGTGATGAGATATAATTGATCAATGTCCGATTCGCCAGGAAAAAGCGGTTCTCCCGTTAACATTTCAGAAAATAAGCAACCGATTGCCCAAACGTCGACAGCCCTAGACATAACAACAAAGATAAACAATAACAACGTAGCGCATGTTGCTATGGTAGTGTATACAATACATGACAAGGTTCAATTCGAATACAAAAAGTATTATAATGTCTATACCTGCCATAATTGGTGTCCCCTACTAATAGTTCTGGTGCCCTGTACCAACGTGTTGCCACATAATCTGTATATGCTTCACCAGGAGGAGCTACAGTGTAATGCATATTACAGTAGAGCTTTATTTAATATAATTTTGTTTTTACCGATGGCTCTGGCAAAGCCAAAGTCGCATATTTTGACAACTCCTCTTTTGGATATGAGTATATTCTCTGGCTTGACGTCTCTGTGAATCACCTTAAAGTAAGAATCGGAAGTGTTAAGTGTAAAATAGGATGCGTTAAAGAAAAGTCAGAGAGGATAAACAACTCCTCTATTTTCTATGCAATCAGTCTCTCCTTTACCACCTCTCTTAAGTTAGGCTGTGTTTACACAGCAACGCAAAATGCATCTTTTTAAAACCATACACTTAGAACACTGTTTTTGCTTCCATAGAGTTCTATCAAGATTCTATCAAGTTTTCATTCGTTTCGTGTAAACAAAAGCATAAAACAGGCACAAAACTGTACGATTGCATCATTTTCCGATTACATCATTTTCGTTGCAGTGTAAACGCAGCCTTATACACATTCGCAGTCTTATACACATTCGCAGTCTTATACTTATACACATTCCCTGACGTACATTGTGCTGATGACAGAACTCAACTCCTTTAAGCACTTGCCACATTATCTTTTTCACTAATGATTCATCAGCTCCACTAGGATACTTATCCAGCTCATCCAATGCTGTGTGATCAACAAACTCAAACACGAGATAGAGTCGCTTTTTTCTTCGAAAAACTTCAATTAAATTGACTAAATTCTCATGACGTAATTGCTATAAAAAGCTTCACTTTATGTTAGAGTTAACTTTAGACTTACTTTTAACATTCTAACTTCTCTAAGTGCAATTTTCTTGACCATCCTGTCGTTCTCAGTTTCCAGAAACTTCTTAATGGCCACAAGTTGAGACGAGTCTTTGTGTCTACACTTCATGACCATTCCGTAACTCCCTTCCCCCACAAGACCCAAATTCTCGTATTTCTCCATAACAAATTTCTATAATACTAAAATATTGACATTAAACATGCGAATATTTGACTTTGAGGATAAATTGCAAACAGTAATTCATTTCATTCCTTGTTATCAATCTCCTAGTCAATGAATCTCTAAACTGTATGGCATTCCTTTGGCTGACAGTTGACAAATCAAAGGACCATCACATACTGATCTAACGTGTATGTTCTCTCAATACTTAAAGCTTAGGGTAATTGGAACTCCTTATTACACCCACACACGCACACATGCACTGATCACAAGAGACAATAAATAAATATTATATTCAGCAGTCCTAAAACACAATTATACAAGGCATACACAAGCACACAAAGTGCAGTATCGCACATAATGTAAAATTATATATATTTCTCCTACATATCCACATATATAGCTACAGAGAGGCTCAGAAAGATTTATTAGCCTCTGTGCAGTAATTTACGAGAGCAAATACAAGTGCTGCAAGCTGGGGAGTTTAGGAATAGAGTATGGGCTGAGTCGAGAGTAGAAAAAGGACGCAAGGCTTGTCATTCCGTACAAGCATATTAAGATGCCAAACTGGTTGAAATCATGTTGTAGCAAAAGAGTACATCCTGTCACTTACTTAGATTGGAGAGGAAGATCGTGTGCTTGTTATATTCAGCACTTGCTCATTTCTTCTCCTCGAGAGAGAGAGAGAGAGAGTCTTCTTCTAGAGTTTGGGTGTTGCCTTGGGTACAGTGGCTATGAATCTTGTTCCAAGATTCTTTTGATCTTAAACTAGTTCACCCCCACCCACCGCCGGCTACGTACATTCATTATGAGACTTTTCCGGTCCCATTGCTAGAGTAAAACTATGAACAGACAAAATCTGCTGTGTTGCAGTATTGAAATGCTTTTCATAGCAATGAGCAAAGCATTTGCAAAACAGTTGAATAAATCTGCTAGCTGATCTAGTTATTAATTGGTTATTGTGTCCGGTGGGTGTGGTTAATTAAGAAAAAGTGCTAGTGGTAAATTGTCCTCCTCCACAAATTCGCTCCTTCTGTGTGTGGTTACTGTACATTTCTGTCTCTGTATAACTGGGATTTATCTCCCCCATCTCTTCTTCTGTCTGAGAGAGAAATGGATAAACAAACTCCAGACTCCAAAGCAAGAAGACTAGAGATAGGGATCAGAGTCAGTGATAATAAGTCAAGCCTTACTTGAAAGGCCTCTCTGTCTCTTTTTCTTCATTAGGAGAGGCGGCCAGAGGATAGAAGCAATAACTTTTGTGTGGAGTCACTCATTGATGCTCTGGTAGTCCTTTATGATGAGTGCTGCTCCTCGAACCAGAAAAGAGAGAGGACAGTTGTAGAGTTTGTGGAAAGAGGTAGCCATTGAGGGATTAGTATGTGTTGTTATTAGTTGGTTTTATAAGTTATCGGCATAACATTTATGTTTGCTTTACATTGTGGGTGTGGTTCATTTAATACTATCGGAGACATGTACATGTATACTTGAGCTACGAAATTGTTCGGGACATAATTTTACTCCTCATTGGGAAACATACCTAAGAGAGGAGAAGACCACTTGTTGCATTTATTCATGCGCCTGGTTGAGACTGTTATTCATCATGACCCTCCATGCAGACTATGAACAAAGTCTCGTACATGTACTTATAATAAAGTGGGCCATACTTCTATTGCCTTGTTATTTTGTGATTGGTAAATAAGTTCATTATAAACTGTTAAGTACATGTACATATACAATATAGTATAGCAGAGTGTGTGTGTGTTTGTGTGCTTGAAGTGTGTAAAAGCTGGAATGTGTGTTGGGATGAAAAGGTGAGTAGCTGTCTCAAGGCACATTCTGGGTACATCTTTATTAGGCTATTGGGATTTCCTAGCATGCGTGGCTGTTACGGTCACCGTACGTATGATGTCCATATGCATATTACTCTAAATATAATCACTTGTTCCCCCTTTCTGTTTCCTTACTTAGTCAAACCAGTCATTGACAGAGTTAAAGAATGTCGTTTGACAGCTGACGATTTTGAAGTTTTAGAAGTGATTGGGAGAGGAGCCTTTGGAGAAGTGAAGGTAGAGATTTTTTAAATACTAGTACCAGTGATATGTGTCAGTAACTAAGGATATCAATGCGATTAGGTTGCTTCTGTGTTGGAATTAGTTAATAATTATTTCAACAGAATATTGACAATGATGTCATGCACACGTACACACACACAAATATACACCCTAACCTTTAATAACAAGATTTACATGTACATATACTGGTATATTAGAGCATAAAGTGTGCATTTATATACCCACTGAGGCATGGCATCTGATTATACTGTTAATAATGGTATTATAATATTCACTAATAAAGCACTACACTTCCTATGCAGTCAATAGACTGAAGAGTGTTTTGTAGCAGATTAATTAAGATGTACATAAAATTAATAATATGTACATGTATTTGTACGTTTCTTTTGTACACAGTAGGCATGTTGTATTTGTACATTTTTACAGGTTGTGAGATTAAAATCAACCAATAAAGTATATGCCTTAAAGGTTCTTAACAAAGCTGAGATGCTACAGCGACAGACAGTGAGTTACTTGCTAGTGTTTATCATTATATATGTATGTGGCTAACACTTTGTTGCTAGACTGCTTGCTTTAAAGAAGAGCGTGATGTGTTAGTGTTTGGTAATAGGGACTGGATTACTAAACTTCATTATGCTTTTCAAGATAAAAATAACCTGGTATATATCCTTCTTTCTCTCTCTTTTGCACTTTGTCTTTTTCTCCTCTCCCTTTATTTCTTAAATATTTATTTGTATCATAATCCTTTAGTATTTTGTGATGGATTACTACCTTGGAGGTGATGTCCTAACACTGCTCAGTAAATTTGAGGACAGGCTCACGGAAGACATGGTCAAGTTTTATGCATCAGAAATGATACTGGCCATTCATTCGATTCATGATTTGGGCTATGTCCATAGGTTAGAGAGAGAATAACAATAAGAAATTGAAGACACATACGATGTATGTATTTTCTATTAATGCAGAGATATAAAGCCTGACAATGTTCTCATTGGTAAAGATGGCCACATCAGATTGGCAGATTTTGGCTCATGTTTAAAGATGGACTCCAACAGGAAAGTCAACAGCACGACTGCTGTTGGGACTCCAGACTATATTAGTCCGGAAATATTACAAGTATGTACATTGCGTATGTGCATGGGTGTGTTTCATGTTATTGTAGCAGCTCTTGTCTGTTATGCTTCTTGTATTAAGTAAACCGCCTAATGAATAACTGTTGTAGCTTTTAGAGTAGGTGATCCTTATTTGTCCAATGGACCTATTGGTATTTTAATAAGTGTAATCAGTACTGATATCCTATATGTAAGTGATAATGTGTATAAAGTATACCACCATCATTCTGTGTAGTTTCATCTTAAGCTGGTTTTCCCACAAAGCATCTTCATGAGCTGACAAGCTTTGTAATAGTATATGGGGCAACTTTAGAAATTTATAAAAAATCCAAACTTCATTTTAATCAGCTCAAATTTGAAGCGTAACATAAAAACATGTATATGTATTAGAAAAAATTATTAAAATGGAGAAATTTCTTCAAGTCATTTTTGGCAAAATTTGGCCAAAATCCCTGTACTATAGTACAGGGACTTTCACTCGATTTTTGAGTAACTTTAAAAATTTGTAAAAAATCCAAACTTGATCGGAATCAGCTCAAATTTGAAATGTAACATAAGAACATGTATGTGTATCAGAAAAAATTATTAAAATGGAGAATTTTCTCTTTTTAATTTTTGACAAAATTTGTCAATTTATTATCAGTTAATGCAGGAGTAGGTAATGTCACTGGCAAAAATACTATTGAATATTATTATTGCTTTGTTAGCCAGAGTCCCAAATGTGTAGTATATTAGTAGTATAACTGAAGATTAATAATAACATGTACATGTACATGTATGCTCAATGCTATAAATTATTGGTCTGTGTCAAATGACTCTAACTTATATTGCTTCTTGTTGTGCAGGCAATGGAGGATGGGCGTGGTGTCTATGGCCCAGAGTGTGACTGGTGGTCCCTCGGGATCTGTATTTATGAAATGTTGTTCGGCGAGACTCCATTTTATGCCGAGTCCCTCTTACAGACGTACAGCAAGATCATGCAACACAAGGTTAGAACTAAGCATATCTGGATAGATATATATATATACTTTATTCCTTCTTCTTGTAAATAGACATTGTTTTCCTTTCCTTCTGATGAAGATTCTATTGTGGTCTCGAAAGATGCTAAAAACCTCATTAAAAAGTAGACACCATTTTCGTTTTTAAAAATTATATTTATACTTTATTTTTAATTTCCTCTCTTTCTATTTCAGTCTGATCTGTGATGCTGAGGAGAGGTTGGGTCAAAGTGGTATTGATGACTTCAAGAAGCATCCTTTCTTTGAAGGAATAGACTGGGACAACATTCGCTCTCAGACTCCTCCCTATATACCAGAATTCACCAGCGATACCGATACCAGGAACTTTGAGCCTTACGAACCGGACGACCCGGGACATGTAAGCTTCACTTTTAGATTTTGTGGTATTTTAGCAGCTGCATTTATAGCTTAATAATTACACATAATCATGCATGCTTTGTATTAATACTGTACATTGCGATTGTGCTACCACTAATTAAGTGTATCTCTTTCCTTTCTCCTTCTTCCTTTTGTTTACCCTACCTTGTATTTGTTGTCTTTTAATTTCCTTTATCTCTTTGTTATTGGTATATTCTCTAACCTCAGGATCCAACCCCACCTAACTTGACTGCTCTTACCCTCCACCTTCCATTTGTTGGATTCACCTTTACAAGTGGTAGTGCACTCTCTGACAGACCTCCACTCCCATCACTTGTCACTAGAGAGCAAGAAACTGGAATCATTACACAACTCCCATCAGGTCCATACATATGTACATGTACACATACACAATGGGTACTGTGTATTTATACAGCATATACTGTATAATGTGCAGTTATTTGTAGTATTGCAAGCTTGGGGTGGATCTGTGTTCATGTACACTCTATATAGTAGTACATGTACTGTACATGTATACTATAATATGTATCTTTGCTTGATGGAATAGTGTTTTTATTTCTGTTTTGATTTATTATGAGCTTGTAGTAAAATGCATTGTTGCCTGTAGTGGAATTTTGTAGTAAAAATCTCATTCACAATCACTTAGAGCATGTACAGTAGTTCTGCTTAGACTGTTATTACGTGTCTTGCGTGTATTAGGACCGAGTGAAGAAGAAGAAAGATTAAGAGCTGAAGTTAAAAGTTTGAAGGATGAGCTGGATAAGAGCAGAAGGGGAACACTCTCATCGCAAAAGGGACACGATGGTAACCATTATCAAACTGTTTCTCTGTACCACATTGTGATCATAAAGTTCATGAGCATAACTAACTACCTGTACATATACATGTATAATTATTTATGTTTTTTTTATTTTTCAAAGATCAAGCATCGAAAATGAAAACGTTGGAGAGAGCTGTCCGCTCCTTAAAAAGTGAAAAGAACTCACTAACGGAGCAGGTCTCTGACTTGAAGGAGTCGTTGGCAGCAAAAGAGAAGGAGCTCAAAGAAGGGAACAAGAGATACAGAGAATCACAAGATGAACTGAACCGAATTTCAGACAAGTAATTCCTGTTTATCAAAACACAGTCAACACATAACTACATGTACTAAAGCATGCAAGTGTCTTTATTTTTTTATAGCTAGTATGAGAATTCAAAAGCCATTTAAGATTTTTTCGTTGCTTCAATTTAACTTGTATGTGCTCCATTTTTTCTCTAGAATGACTGACTATCGTTCACAAAAGCGTGAGCTAAGCAGAGCTTTGAGAGAGAAGGAAGAAGAATATGGTAAGGAAAGCTACAATGAGTGGATTAGTCAATTTCATTATATCTTTAGATGAGATTGCAAGTAAAGTGGACTCTTATAGGAAAACAGCTAAGGAGAGTGAGAGGGAAAAACGTAGTGTAAGTTTATATATTTATAATAATAATAATAATAATAATAATAATAATGTGCCTTGTGTTCTTATAGTTACTGAATGAATTGGATGATGCCAAAGCAGCAGTGAGTCAAGAGAAAAGACAAAAGAATCGACTTGAGAAATTGAAGCAAGAATTAGAAGATGAGATATCAACCCTTAGGGTAATATTATGAGCCCATTCTTTCTCTTTATTTCCCTATCATTATATTGTCTATCTTAATTTTGACTTTTTAAAATTATAGTCAAAGCATAGAAGAGATACTAGTACAGGGCAAGATACTCAAGAGCTTCAGAAAAATATTGAAAAGTAAGTCCAAAGTGAAACTATACATCTAGTCTGCCTTGTTTAATTGTTGATGCATCAAGATTGTGTACAAAGAAGATGTGTCATAGTGATAATAGCTCTAATTGATTCTGCTGTAGTTATGTGCTACATTTCAGGAGAAAGAAACATGCTAAAATTAATTTGTGCTTTGATTAGCAATTTTCTGTGCTAAACAGCGATAAATATTTGTAGTAGCCATCATACCAAGAGTAGATGATGTGTTCTTGTGTGTTAGGCTGCAGGCTCAACTTCAGGAGAAAGATAGTGATCATAGTGAAGCTGTCAAATCTCTCGAGGCCAAGCATATAGCGGAGGTACAGAAGCTGAAGGAATTACTAGCCACATCTGAGAGCACCAACACTGAACTACACAATGAGGTACCCAATACACTAATGATATGATGATACATGTACATGTACATATACGCACTATACATTACACACATACACATGTATATGTACATGTACATGTGCATAATATATACAAAATGCTAGTGTGCATACTAATATAGTGCGTTAATGTCTTTACTTGTAGAATGATACACAATTTATGTTTTAATTTCTTTGATGTGTGTGTTTATTTCGTATCATTATAATAATGTTTGTATTTCTCATTATTTTTGACATAAACATTTACATTGTCCAGTGTGCATGTGTTGTACACGTACATGTAATACGTTAGTTGTGATCAAAGCTATATTGTATTAACTATATAATTGTATTTTTAACAGAACAATGATCTGCAAGTTCGTTTGACTAAAGTGCGTAACAGGACGATATCGGAATTGAACGAAGGGATGAAGGAGAAGGTTGATAAGTATGAGAAGGATAAGATCCAATTGAGCGAAGAGAAGAGAGAGCTTTCCTTGCAAGTTGAATCACTCACAACTAAACTGGAAGAGTCTAAGAAGATACAGCAGCAGCAGGAAGAGGACTTAAAGGATATAAAGAATCAGAAGGAGTTGCTCTCACAGGTCAGTATGTATTTACATACCTCTTCTGTGTGTGTGTCTGCTGGTATTCATGGATCTTTAATGACAGCATGGGCTGGCCATGATTCATATTAGTAGCTAAAGCTCTTTGTGTAGCATATGCACACCACAGCACATTAAAGTATTGCTTGTTAATATTTAAGTTATGGACTATATAAATGCGTGTTTTTCCTTTATAATCCAATTGAAGTAGACATAATGTCATAGCAAAGGAAATATCGTTGTATTCATCTTGTATGATGACTTTGTTTTCTGTAGTGGGAGCATCAAATTGCTGAAATCGTTCAACTTGTCTCTGATGAAAAGAACGCCCGATCATACTTGCAAACTGTTGCTAAAGGACTGGTTGAAGATGTGGAGAGCCTAAGAGCCAGCTCTTCATCCATTGGAAAGGTAAATAAACTACACTTCTTAGACATTTTGTGTACATGTATGTACATGTACATACTAGTCATGTAGGACAGTCACTAACTTATAATTATTTTGCCTCTTTTTCTCTCTCATAGCAAAAAGAGGTTTGGGTTGAAAGGAGGACGCTGAGAAGAGACAAACTTGAGAGAGTTGAGATGCAGCAGAACTTTGAGAATGAGCTGAGAGCCAAGCAAAGAGTTGAGGAAGAGCTGACGCACATAAGAACTCAACTGGCCCACACTGAAAGGTGAGACTGATTGAGATAAGTATGGAGGGGGTAGAGTTATTGATTCCATAAAAGGTTAATTGCATCATAACTTATTTATTTGTTTTATTTCTAGCGATGTTGTTCAACTCAAGGCACAGATTGAGTCACTGCAGAAAGAGAATGAGAAACTGAATAAAGAGAATCAAAAGTATCGCATGGGATTAGGTAATCATTTTCAATGTTTTTATTATGATAATATCTAATGATCTTTGATGTATAGGGTCACGAAATGACAGTTTTACAACTTCAATATTTCACCATCAAAGCGGGAATCAACTTGAGACTAGCACTAGAGCTGCACCTCAAAAACCCAAGGTAAAGTTACAGAATCCAAATGAAGTTTATTTTAATATGAGTTCATACCAATGTGCATCAAATAGAGTATTATCTTTGTTGTAATTTTTTACTCTTTTTCAATGTTATTAATTATATTATTTTTTCTTTATTTCCAGGTCATTACTGGGACTGAGAGAGAGGGCACTCATGAGTTAGTCGTGAGGTCATTTGATTCTCCCACTAAATGTGATGCATGCACTAGCGTAATGTTTGGACTAGTGAGACAAGGAATGATGTGCAAAAGTAAGTCTTTAGCTTATAATGCTAATTCATGTACATGTACATCACTTTTCTTTTATTATCTCTCTTTTCTCCATATTCATACCTTCTCCCTCCCTCTCTGTTTCTCTCTCTCTCCTCTCTCTCCCCTCTCTCTCTTTCTTTAGATTGCCAGATGAGTTGTCATGTTCAATGTAAAGACAAGGTCCTTGCTACCTGCCCTCTTCCACCCGGTCAAGGTCAGTTCAAAGTTCTTATTTGGCATCTACACACACAACACATCAATTGTATATAATTGGCAGCTAGTAGATCTCTTATTAATTTCCTGTTTATTTGTCATTTGTATTTATTATTATTATTATTATTATTATTATTATTATTATTATTATTATTATTATTATTATTATTATTATTATTATTAATAAACTTTACAATACACAGAAAATGTATTGAAGGATAGCACAGCAACTAGGCTACAATTTCTTTCTATTTTTTTCCTATAATAGCTAAAATGCCTTCCGGTATTGATATTCATCACGGAGTGGGAACCGCTTGTGAAGGTTGGATTCAAGTCCCCAAACCCGGTGGCGTTAAGAAAGGATGGACAAGGGCTTATGCTTTCGTTTGCGACTTCAAAATATTCTGCCACGAGCCTTCGAATGATGTACACAGTCCTGCGAATGGTGTATTCAATATATTTGATATAAGGTCTGTTTGAATTACACATACATGTATACATGTATATTAGTTCAAATTACATATACATGTATATATATTAGTTCAAATTACTGTACATGTACATATACATGTATATTGCATATGCATATACTGTGAGGGTGATAGAGAGTAAGTAAATTGAAACTGTCTAATTGGGTTCTCCTATTGTTATAATGTCATTGTATACTCCTGTAGTCTTGTATAATCTGATGTGTGTTTGTGTGATAATGAAATTACAGTACTATCACTTCTCATAATCCTACACTCAATATATTACTTGTGTTGTATTAAATGATTGAACTTTTGATTTCATTGACTGCTTGGGGAGATTTTGTATACAAGTTAATCCATGGGTATAGGGCATTTCATCAAAATTGGCTAGGAGGGATTTCTCCCTTTTAATGACATTTTTTCTTATGCATACACATGTTCTTATGGCTTTTCCAGTAATATTAATTGTAGTAGTAATTATATTTCTCTTTACTGTACATCTGCAACTGACCCCATACAATCATAATGTACTCATGTACATGTACATGTCTTCAGTTTTTTTTGACCATTTTATATTACGTACATTTCTAGGGACATCAACTTCCGAGTATCTAAAGTAACACGACAGGATGTCATCCATGCTGGAGAAAAGCTCATACCAACAATATTCAAAGTTTGTTCTCATCATTCCTGCATGTACATTAGAAATGATATTCATTCATTTGTTCATTAGATATCATGCACCCACCCAACCTGCAGTAGTGTTGGTATACTAAGTGAGCTCTTGATTCGTACTGATAATGAGAATGAGAGAGACAAGTGGGTCGCTACTCTTGATGAATTACAGAAGGCAGCACGGCAGTTGGCAACAAAGAAGGTATATTGGTTGTGATCATTGCAAAACAGGATGTTATTCCCTAATTGTAGCCAATTTTGACGAACTAAATTATAGCACAAAATTTATTTGTTAATGCCATATTGGGGAAGTTGAGATCCCCTGTACATTTTGCTAAAATGCAATTACAAATATTTTAATTATTTACGTGTGCCTCTCCCACTCTCTCTCCTACTCTTCTCTTTCCATAGAATCCTGTTATATCGTGTCATGGATTGTACAGTTCGCAGCAACTTCAACTCCTTAAATCTGTCCAGTCTGCTGCCATTGCTAATAATGACAGAATACTCCTTGGTAATGATCGTGTGGTGGCGTGACTCAAATTTGTTGCTACAAATTATATTTCTTAAAATGCATTCCTATGGACTTAGTTAATGCTTGTAAATTGCAGTTGTGACCTAATAAGCTTTCTGCATGGTGTAGTCATGAATATTCTAAGTATCTTTTACAATACAATTCCAGTGTCTATTTGAGTGTTGCTCCTCTAATTTCTTTCTTTATTAGGAGCTGAGGATGGACTGTATATGTTTGATGTTGCTGATGAAGGTCTCTATCAGTGTGGGGATAAAGACTTGAAGAGGGTCATTCAGTTGGCAGTTTTACAAGATGAAGAACTAGTAGTCATACTAGCTGGTACTTAACTTCTGATTCCACTCTCTCTCTCTCTCTTCCTTGCTCATTCTTTGAATTAAAGTCTACTCTGTCTTTCCTTTATCTCATTCCTTTCATTCTTTCCTTCTCCACTCCCTTAGGTCGAAGGCCAACACTCCGCTTACTACCAACCTCTGCTCTTGACAGTGGGGAGATGAGGAATGTAGTAATTGATGTCACTGAAACCAAAGGTACACTCAGAGAGGAAGAGTAGCCACATTAAACTTTACCCCTCATTGATTCCCATTAACCTCCTAGGGGCTCATTTGTTCTGTACTGGTAACTTGGGACCAACTCAATACATTTGTGTGGCTATTAAGAACAAAGTCTTGATATACGAACTGAGCAGAACAAAGACACGATATGAGAGAAAGAAGGTAACACACACGTGCATGTACTTGTATATTTTGATTATTAATCTGTCCTCAGGAATTAGTAATATCGGGTCAGGTCCACTCTATGTCAATGGTCAATGAGAAACTGTGTATTGGGTATTTATCAGGATTCTCCGTATTTAATGTCTACCTTGATCAACCAGAAATAAGTCAGTACTGTGCTCTGATTGAGGCCTTGCATTAGTGTGTGTGATGTGTTGTGTATTTATTATTAGAACTGGTCAATAATGATGATCTTTCTCTTGGATTTGTTCGTATTAACGAACTGAATGCAATGTGTGCCGTTGAGATAAATAATGGTCAGGAATACTTGCTTTGCTTCCATTGTAAGCTACCGTAACAGTTAACAGATAATGTGTATATCTTTACTTGTTTTCTCTTCCTGTCTACCCTTTCTCTCTCAGTGGTTGGTATATATGTCACTAATGAAGGTAGAAGGTCACGCAAACAAGAATTACTGTGGCATTCCACTCCAACAAGCATTGGTATGTGTACATGTGGTATCGTGTTTCATGATCTCATTTTACTTGCACTTTATGTGCATAGTTCATCGTCAGCCATATCTACTGGTATTCTGTGAGAGCAATCTTGAAGTGTACAATGTGGAGACATCGGAATGGACACAAACCATATCCATTAAAAAAGTAACAATAATATTTATATTAATCATATTACTATTATTATTATTCAATTTTTGGGGTTTTTTTGAGTTAATAAAGTTTTTACTTGTACATGTACATGTACATATATTTAACTTAATATTTTTAAAATTATTTTACAGCTGCAGTCAATATCACCTGGTGGTACTATTGCCTTGTGTAACAGCAGTGACTCCACTTGTACTGTCTACATCAAGTCTGATAGTGATTCTTCTAGTAAGTGTATGGGAACAAACTCTGTACTACACCCACCTCTCTCTATTCCTTTTTATCTTTTCAATCAGTAATTAGCCCCCACATACTCCTACATGTGCATGCATCACATTATTAATTTCTTATTTCTATTTCTAGGTAATATTCTTCATGTTACTAGTGTTAATCGTAGAGGTACTGTCATTACCAAAAGCAAGAAAGTTGTGTAAGTTTTTCTCAAACTATTAATGTACCATAGACATTAATGTCACTGTTTAAATACCTACACTACTAAATGTATTTCTTGTTTATTATTATTGGTGTAACCCTATCAGTGTATCCTTGTAACTTTATATCAGTTATTATTATTATTATAGTTTTGTTTATTATTTAAACTAATATCTCTATCTTCCTAGCATTCCTTACCATAATTATTTCTCATAAATTTGATAATAAACATTCACAAGTGTGATCTGATCTGTGTTACGATAAATATAGTATAATAATTTGTGATACATAGATGAAAAGAAATATTATTATTATTCATGTTATTTTTCCAGTAAACCTGCTCGACCAGTGATATCGGGTCCTACAGAGTTTGCATACGTTCAACACTTTGGACCTCATCCACAACTCGATGTTGAAACCATGCAGGTACACCTAGTTATTGATGCTACAAAATTATTATTTATTACATTTTTTTCTTATTTTTTCTAGAATGCTGGAGAAGGTATGGTAGTGTATTTATTATTTTTATCAAGAGTAGATAATCTACTCTTGTTATTATTACTATCATTATTATTATTATTATTATCATCATCATTATTATTGTTTACTTATTGGTCAATTATTCTAGTGGCTCGTTTAAGAGGTGCTTCTATACCTACTCTATCAATGAGCCAGTCTACACAATCGCTGTCTCCTAGAAAAGACCATCATCATTCCCAAATATTGTCTTCCCACCATTATAAAGTGAGCCACCATTGCTGTAGTATCCTGGAATTACTGTAAAGATTGTTTGTATCTCATGACAGAGATTAGTTATCATTCATGAACTATTATTATGCTATCTCTTGTTATTCTATCACTTTAGGCTGGTTCTATTGAGCATCTACCTGCAGCCTATCAGTCAATTGGTGTGTTTGTTCTATTTTTAATTTATTCTTTTATTATTTTTGTAGATAATTTAGCTGCAGATCGTGACCGTCATCGATAAATCTAATTATTATTATTATTATTATTATTATTATTATTATTATTGAGAGAAACAACTGGATTATTATTATTAATCAGTATTTATTATTATGATTGTTGTTGTTATTATTATTATCATTATTATTATTATTATTATAGAGGCCAAGAAAGTCTAGAATGAATTAGTGAACTCTTTTCATCTCTTGTTTCTTTTTATTGTGTTATTTTTATAATCAGATCAAACACACTATACTATAGTGTGTTTGAATTATTATTATTATTATTATTATTATTATTATTATTATTATTATTATTATTATTATTATTATTATTATGATCATTGTAAACCTTTTCAAACTTAGTAGCTTTTAATTATAAAAATTTGATTATTAAAAATTATAACTAGCCACGCCCTGTTATTTGCTAACTAGCCACACCTTTTTAATGGCCACTGGATTGTCTTCTAAAGAATTTGTTGAAAATGAGCTAAAAGATGTTCGTTCTGATCCAAAATTATCCTCATTAGAATTTATAGCATGTCACAAAGTTTTAGTTCAAGTAAGAATCAAGTAAGTGGGCCCTATTGTTTCGCAATGTGAGGAAAATAAGAATTATTGAACATCTGCTATGCAGTTAGACTACTGTGCAATGTATAAATCTGCTCATTTTCCAATGTTCAGTTTATTAGCAAAAATAAATATTTTGAGGCTTTTATTACATGAAATTGTTTAAAGATTTGTTCACAATATGTATTGAAAATGTCCAAACCAAATGTATTATCATCATCATCATCATCATCATTATTATTATTTAGTTAGTTATAATTTAAAAATTCTTTTATCTAAAGATATACAGAATATAAGAATATCATCGTTAATATTCAATTCCCTCCCGAGTATCCAGCGAATCCATTGTTACTTCAAATAAAGAGTAAAGTACTACCGGATAAACTAATTGAAAAAATCGAGACACTTTGTGACCAGGAGCTAAAGAAGCTTGTTGGTTCCAAACAGGTGTGGTTCACCTACCAACCATTAGTTATATATCAATGATACAGTCCCTGTGCTTTTAGGTGTCAACAATCCTTTTGTTCTTATGCGATTTTATTAAGAATAACCCATTAATTGTCTGTTCTGAAGAACTCCAATATATCAAGAATACTATTAACAGGTAAAGGTGGCTGGAATGTACATGTACTTGAAGGAATGAGTTTTTAAATACTTATTATTATAACTAGAAATTTTAGAATTAATAGTACTTAGATATTAATGACTATTTGGTGGAATTTTTAATTTACTTTAATATGTGCAGATTCAATAAAAATGGCTTTAAAGGAAAGACTATTTTATTATGTTAACTGCTAGAGATTTTATTTGAATGTGAATGTATTGCTATTGTAGAGAAGGTGATGAATTAAAGATAAAGCAAAGGACTGGAGTAATACTTTATAAAGCATTTCAAGATCAGTAAGCTCATCATTCATTTGTACTTATTATTTAATAGTTATTTTTTGCAGATATTTTATAGACTTCAAGATGACGGTTCCAAATGAATACCCAGCCTCTCATGTTCAGTAAGCTGATTTTGATCAAGTTTAGATTAAAAAAAAATTTTTAAGTCACTCAAAATTTTGTCAAAAATGACTAGGAGAGAATTCTTCATTTTTATAATTTATTTGAATATGTATACATGTTCTTATGCTATCTTTCAAATTTGAGCTCATTCCGATCAAGTTTAGATTTTTTTTATGAATTTTAAAATTTACTCAAAATTTGGGCCACCGGCCTGTACTATAATAGTACAATCAAGAATTGTATTTTTGTTTTAGGTTAGAATTTAAAGAGAACAATCTGCCAGTCAATCTGTACCACATAATGAAAGGCCAAACAGTTGAACTATTGAGACAATGCGTAGAACCACCTATCAGAAGAAACCCACGGTAATCATAATGTACTGGAAAAAATATCATAATTGTATGCTTTAAAATGAAAAATATCATTGCCCTCAAATTTTTTCCTGTCTTTTACATCTTTTTTCCTTTACATGTATAGCTTTAAAATTTTGACTAAACTTCATTTTTTATCTTATATTTTACTTATTTTTCTATGATAGTGCTGGGCCCTTTGTTCCCAGACCTTCATTGCAGTTCATTACCAATTATTTGGTGGTGGATTGTCTCAGGAGCATTACAACTGATTCCTGTCCTGTATGCAATAAAAGAGCTTTACCAACTGATCCCAAGGTAATGGTAGCAATAAAAGTAGTTGTATTTGATTTTTACACCAATTTAATTGCTTCAAAATTCAGTTAGAAGTAACACAGTTGCGAAAATTATTGACTTAATTCTCTTTTATACTTAGGATATTATTATTGATGAGGGTCATCCTCAGTATGTGTATCGTATCTACTGTGGACACTTGTATCACTTCCAATGTCTTGATAGTTATATGAAAACACCTCCATTTACAGGTGATTCACTAATCATCTCTACTATCAAACTTAGTTTAAATGGCATCACATTGTAGCTATTTTTATCTTTAAAAAATAATATGTTGCAGATGGTTTAATAATACCCTGTTAGTACTTTAGTTCACTGTGTTGATCAATAATCAACAAGTATAATTACCAAAACATTTTTACAAAACTTGAAGTACGGGTACATGTATAAGATAATATTACTCTTTCCTTAGGTGGAAAGAAGTGTGTGAAGTGTGGGCAGAGGGTGTTTCATGATAAATGGAATGTTCCTCCAAGATTGGCTGAAGAGAGATGGGCCCATCAAGAGGCAAGGAAAAGAGAGATTGCTGAAGTGGCTGAATTTTTAGGATTTGATTAAATCATGTCCAATATTAAATATCTTATTTATTTTACTTAAAATTAAAAACCAATAATGATGAATACTGGATTATGATTAATTTTTAATAGGAGTGGTAGATGGGGTGTAGCAAAAATGGCTGCTAGCTCTTCAGGAACTTTGGAAGGCTTTTTTCGTGGCAGTGGTGAACCTGTTGAAGATGATTTCTATGATATATTAGGCTGCCATGAGTCTTCGTCCATAGAACAGATAATGAAAGAGTATCATATCAAAGCTAAGATGTACCATCCGGATAGAGTTTTAGATGACAAAGAAAGAGAACATTGTACTGAGATTTTCAGGAAGATAAACAGAGCTTATGAGATATTGTCTGACAAAGGAAAAAGAAAGATTTATGATAACTGGAGAAAATCGGGTGTAGCTATGACATTTGATAATTGGCTCTCCTTGCAAACTCGTCTTGGACCTACTATGCATTTTGGAATGACAAAGAAACAGCTGTCCTTAACAACCCCACAAGATGAGAAACCTCTTCACTCAAAAGAATCGAAACCAACAGACACTGGATCGAGTCTTTTAGAACAATTTAGAACATACAAAATATAGACAAATCCAGGCCTGCCAGCATTTTACAATGATTTTGTTTTTTAATTAATTTTTTTTAAATCAAGTCACCTCTTATGCTTTATTTTGTATTAGGATTATAGGAATAGTTGGCTCAGTAGCATATAAAATATTAGATCCAACCCACTATCCATGATCAAACACAAATCACAAAGGTTAAATTATTTGAAATTTGATCACAGTGTTCCAAGCCTACATTCATAATTATTGGTCTGGCTAATGAGACTAAGCAAAAATGCACTAGTGTAATATTCAATGTTTACAGTATGTTAATATTTTGAGGCAGTTTAAGTAAAAAATAACATTACCTAGTTTCACAGCAAGTATGTTAAAGTAATTAGTTAATGTTGATCATTAAGGATACCCTTATAGTTCTGATTTCATTGAATCAGCTATCTGGGACAATATTGGATCTTTTATTTTGTGGAATATACTAATCAGATTAAGTAGATACTGGCGCTGGTCACTGGATGCTTTGAGTTGATGTCGTAATTCTCTTAGAAGTGCTTGTGCTCTCTCATATACAGGATTGGTAGTTTTGACAGCTTCATCAAATACATCATTACTGATTAGTGATATGCAATGAGATGACACTCTTGTAATATTATGCTCTGTGGCTATAGCATCACAAAGTTGAGGGAAATGTGAATCAAATAGCAATTCCTATAAAATAGCACTTAAAATTAATAAAAGACACTTTGCATGCATACTAACAGATTTCTGAACTGTACTTGCAGCAGATACTATATCAGGTACACTAGCTTCGTGTGACTGGTCCTCCTAATCTCATGCATATAAATAACAAGTATATGAATCACATTGCTGTGTACCTGTTGATCATGTTTAGATTTGGCTCCAGCTTTGTCCTTCGATGTTGTTTCCACCTATATAATTTACAATGAAAACAATAATGGTATGAATTATAAAATGATTACCTTCTCAGTAAACCAAACTTTCTCTTTTTCTGTCAGTGGTCGATGTACTCTGTTTACTTTACAAGTAATTGTAGGATGTCTGGCTTGATACTTTGCTGGTGTGAGAAAATGAAGCTTAGAGGAGACAGGACAGCCATCACAGATGTAACGTAGTGATCTTGATACGGAATATTTGGGTAATTCTTCAAAACCTCTTCCAATGCAATTCTGAAGAATGTTCTCCACTTCTTTAGCGGAATCTTCCAACAGAACTAAGATATCTTGACATACATTGGAAAGAGGAACTGGATTGGTGTGAAAAGTAGGTCGATGAACATTAATCTGGATGGCATCATGTTGATCGGTAACTGTCAAGTGTTCAATGCTTCTATTCTTCTCATCCTCATAACCAAAAGTAACACGATTCCTATATACTCCTTCTTCAAGGTACAGGGTTGTGTTGGGGTGATTGGCTATAACAGCGACAAAACGAGTGAAGAAACCAGGAGGAACAAAACGAGTTTCAAACGTTATATGAAGTGGTGATGC